GATCATCTCATTTTCCATAATATGGCTAAAATCAGCATGAATCAATACCGGTTATTCTAAATAGATCATTTGAGGAAAAAAAGTGCGTCTTAATCTGGTCACTTTGCTTTCTAGTACATTATCACTTAATGTATACAGTATGACAGTAGGCTCAGTTAAATTTAGGTGTCATTCCCGCAGGTTTTAAATTCAACCAGCTGAGATTATCTTTATATTCCCAGACGCAGTTTTTATGTGCTAGAGGTACAGAGGAATTATATGCTTCTTTTTTAAAAAGTGAGGTAAAGAGAAAATTTATACACATCTAAGATGTCTTTAGTTTAAGGAGAACTGATAGCCCATAGAATATACACACCCTGGAGAAAAGATATGATATCATGCCATTTCCATGGCAACTTCAGAATCACCGATTCTGGACTTCAAAGATACGCCATTTACAAAGGAGAGTTTTGTGCTTAGGCTGGGGTCATTGTTGCCTGGAGTTAGAACCCTTCTGCCAGAGTACTTACCCATGAAGCCAACAGACAGACAACAGGAAAGACAGTAAATCATAAGAGTGTGTTAAAGTGCTCAGGCAAAAACACACTCCACTGAAAAAGGCCTGGAATGCACATGAATCGGCACTGATAGAGGATTTATAGCTGGAACCCAAACAGTCCACACAGAGTCACTTTTATGGCATGATCTAGCCCCTGAACATAAAAGGTGATATTCCCTAATTTTTCACAGGATTTCGAGGCATAGGACTGCTTCTCTTCTTCCCACCCCCACCTTTGACATTAATTAATGAAACATCTAAAAGCCGAGCTATTCCATTAATTTCACTTGCCTAAGGTGCAAGTAACCATTCCACAAAGTCACCTATCCAACTATAGGCTAAAAAACATCCAGTATTTTAATGACTGGTAGTTTAATTAAAATTCTTTGCTTTCTCTTGGCCCTCTTCTAAAAGTGTCAAAAATAATATATTCAGGACAGAGCACAGCAATAGGGATGGCATCTAATGCATGGATGAAATATATTAATGAACACTGATGTCATACACACAATATGGATTACCTGTCAACACAAAACACAATTTTGATCATTAAATATGACATATATATGTAGATACTTTGTCTTTGTAACACCCCTTTCACATTACAACAATTAAGCTAAACATTAATACAGTATATAAGCTGGAAGATTTCACATTTTACTGCAACTCCTGACAGATCATCAGTCTCCAGACTTATCTCATGATTAAAAAGAGATTAACCTCTGCTGGTAAGCACTGTACCAGATAAGAGACACTGCAATTAATTTACTGTGGTTTCAAATGAAGGGCCAAGGACATTATAATGAAATGTTTTGGTTGTCATTTCCTGTTTATATTGCAAGACAGACACTAATCCAAGAAATTAAATAAGACTAACATTTTCATTTCTGTACAATAGAAGACAAACTAAATTAAGTTAAACAAGTTAATACATATATAGTCACTCAAATACATACTAAATTCAAGCTTTCCAGTAACTATTACACATCAACAAATTTTTCTGGATTTAGTTTCGGATGACTGTGCTGATTTATGTTTAGCAAAAAAGTGAAGGTTTCCAAAACGATTTAGACTTATTTTTACTAGTCAATGGATTTACAAGTAACAGAAAACACGTTCTATTTTGACATCCACAGAAAGTACAGTAACAGACCCTTGAGAACTATTGCCTACATTTACATCACAACTCCAGATGCTTTCTTTAGTTAATGAAAAAAAGCTAAATGAGATGCATCAACGTACCTCATATCTTTAAAATTACCTTTTAAACAGACTACCTAAAATCCCAGAGGGATAAATTGTATTAGTATGTTTTAACAATACTAACCTAAAGCATCTTGCAATAAATGCTCACTTTTGAAGCCGATGTGATACTTTGTTAGAAATGGTGAGAGTGTATGATAAACTATATGAAGTACACTAGTGAAACCTCATGCAGATGCAACAATATGAAAATTGGATTGTATTTGTGCTGTGAAATAGCCCACTGTTTTGGAGGTAAATGGTTGAACTGATAAATAATACAATTTGAAGTGGCATAAAAAGGAGTGCACTCTGAAGCTACATTTTGAACTGGCAAAGTTGATTTGGCACTACAGTAATCCTTATAGAAACTGTTTATAAACCACTATACAAACTTTCATTCATATGCAATGTAGTAAATGCTACCTGAGTAGATTTTCATTTCCTACCCTGAGCTAGGCTCTCATAGAGCATTGCTGAGATTCTTCCTTTCTAGTTTTTTCTCAGGTAAGTAATTTGCTTTTCATTTTTTATTACATTTGTGTGTAATAAAAATTAAAAAAATTACAAGTGTGTGTTAAGTTAATAAAATACAGAATAGTACCTAATGTTTATGCTTTTGTTAACAACCATAACAATGGAGCTACAGTACTGTACCATACGTGAGTGTGAATGTTATTTTCTACATCTTGTTTATGCAACAGATAATGACTTTAAGCATGTTACTAGAATTATTAACCAGGAATATTAGTTTTCATACATAGTCTGTGTATATTAAGGTAAAGTTTGGATGTTTGAGAAAACATTTTTGAGCTCAGTAACCAAACAGAAATTATACCATAGGGATTAATAAGAATTTCAATTATATGAGTTTTCACCTTACAAGCACTTCAAGGAGTAAATTAAACTTGTTTAAAGAGGGATTAACTTGCCTTACTCTCTCTGTAAGTAAACTACTTAGTCCACAGGGAATCATTTACAAAGGGGAGGCCTTTTGGGCCATCTTGCTTGCTTGGTGACTGGTCTAATAGTCATCTAGACATTTCCTGGACCCCCCAAATAGCCCTCTTCAACAACATGGCTTGATAGCTTGTTCTAAACCATCGGGAGCCTTTCAGTTCCCTCATTTCAAGTCCTACATGTACTCCCTAAAGCATTTTCTTTCCACAGGCAATATCAGGCAATACCAAAGGCTTCACAATGCTACCCAACATCAAGATATAAATACAATGGTAAACCTTACATGTAAGGCTGACTGTTTCCCCTGACAACTGCATAAGAACATAAAGATTACAAACAAGAGGTGGCCAAGAGATCCTTTTAGCCCAATCAGTAGTTAATTGCTCCAAGGATATCATCCTGCTGTTTATTGTAAAAATAAAAAAAACGGATTATTGACTTCAGCATTCCAGGGACATAAACTAGGCCTTGGAAATAATGAGCTCAAATTGTGAAAACTATTTTTTAGATACGTTGTACCCATTATTCTCATTTTATACGAAACATGGATTTGTGTGAGGAACACCGCACTGCAAATGGCATAACAAAGCTGATTCTCAGTTTATAATCCCTCCTGCACATGAGTGAGCCAGCGCCAGACCACCAGAATGGGTAGTCAAGCACACATTCAATCACAGCCACATCTGTCACGGATAGCACGCCATTGAACACACTGCATTCCAAGCACAGCGCGACTCTAGGAGAATTTTATTTCTTTATTTCTGCCCACTACAGGAATCATCTAAAAACTCTTAAGGACATGCCATTTGGCCTGTGGGAAGCAAACATAATCAAGCCTAGACAGATCTTGATCGGTTTCAGGTCAGGGGAGTGCCATGAATCAGCTTAATTTTAAGCTTTGAAGGAGCTAGCGTAAGTCAAAGACCATCCAAAATTGAGCACCTGAGTCAATCATGAAAAGAAACCCCACTGCTTTCTCTAAATGGATACATGGCAATTTCTTTACAGTTATATACAGCTCAGTGAGCCTAATCCAGCTTGCCTTTATAATAACAACAAGGTTTTTACTTCAGATTCAAAGCATTTGCTCAATGTTATCCACTAAATACAAACACTTATAATTTAAAAATTATCCATTTTAGGATAACAAACATTGTTTTACCAAAGTAAAACCGTCCATTAAATTTGAAAATAATTCCCAGTTTACAAAGAACCTTAATATTTCTGTTTTTCCACTGTACAAGAAACCTTACAATTTCCTTTAATTTTCATTTAACATCTGTACTTGAATAGAGTACGTACTGTGTTTGCTGTGAGTATAATTATACTTGTAATTGTCAATGTAAAGCACTTGTTTTAAACAACTAATCCATTAATACAAGAAATAAAAATAAAAATAAATTCTAAAACGCATGATCCCCAAAATGTTAGGATACCCAGTTGACTCCAGATTTATTAATTCCTTCAATGACAAAAGAACAATGCCATTGTAGGATGTCAAGTATCAGAAAGAGTTACAACCAATGACAAACACTGGATAATGCGACTTGTTCGAAATATCTCATAAAAAGGTATTCAGTGTTCTAATAGCATTGCACAAAGCAAAGTCATATTTATCAATTAATTGAATTCCAGAAAGCACAAGGGTCACATTTATTCACATCTCTAAGTCTTGCGTTACAGCACAGTATATACAGTAAAATTCAACAAAAAAAATGTGCAGCAACAAGGAGGTACATAGATCATGGTTAAGGTCAAATAACTCTTCAAAGACTGAAGACAAATGGACACTGACCTCCACAATTAATAGGATAGATAGAAAAGAATCCACTCAAACCTGAGATTCCCACTCTCTACTATAGTGGTTCGTTATTAAGAAATGCAAGGCCATTGGGATGGTGAAAACTACAGTATGAGGCGAGTAGTTTGCAGCTATAAATTCAAAAGCAGACTTTGGAGATCTCCAACACAAACTGCATAAACGTCTTATGAGGAATATGCCAGGTAGCCATAAAAATAGGATCCAAGCAAAAACATACCTCTTCACAAAATACAGTGATTAAAAAAAAAGCTATAAAACCACATTTCAAAACCAAAAACAATACTGTAAGATAAATTTTCTGATTTAAAAAGAGCAACCATATTTATGCAATGTACAGAACAAGGGGGTAGAGCGATATATCTATCAGCAGTATATCGTACAAGTCAGGAAATTAGCAAATGTGGAACAAAATGGTAGAAAACAAGCCATGTTACTTACAAACTTCCTCTTCTTGGAAGGCTCAGTTCCTTCTGTAAAAGGAAAAGAAAAGAGTATGATGTTAAACTGATGTCAAATCACTTATCTGACCAAAAAAGAAACTAAAAAAGATGAATCTGTGGTCATCATTGGGTTAATCTTGCCACTTCACCTGGTTTTAGATGCCTCCATTATGCTGGAGCCACCTCACTTTCTCACTTTCTGTCTACTGTGATTATACATGCCAAGACCACAGAGCAAGCAGTGAATGACATTTGCCGAGTGACCCACGGTTCTGGAATCTGTCAAGCCTGAACCAAGTATCCCCTCAGAGACTCACACAGCCTGAGTATGGTGTCTGAGTACAAGACTGAAAACAGCATAGAAACTTCTGGCCCTCCAGGACACACGAAGTTCAACCTAATTAAAGCCATTTCCCTTCATAAATGATTGGTCCTTTTAATAGTACTTGGGCAAGTACTATTGAGTGGGCTAAATGTTGACACTTAGGTCCTTCTGAAAAGATAAATTGTATGATAAAAAGTAATTTGAAAAATAAATATCAATAAAGTTTATCTTTCAGGCTTCCTCTCCTTTTAGATCTTTCTGAAGAAATCCTGGTTTGAAAGTATAAAGCACACAGAAGTCAAACATTCAGAACATAGTGGATACAAAGTTTTTTTTCACATAAAAGTTAAGATTTTAATTTTTTCACAGTTCATCGCATAACCATTCATTTTATTGAAACCTTGAATGCTCCAACTGATGATGTCTAAGGGTAAGATAAACTACCATACTTGTCAGTACGGTAAATTTAAGAGCTAAACAAAAAAAAGCAATTTAAATGCAATACATAGAGGAACCTCCTTTCTGAATCAACAAAAACGATGTTCTGTAAAAGCTTACATATTTTAACAAATGACAAACTTTATACAAGCATTGAATTTGTAAGCTTTTAGCCCAGGGACCTCAA